TAGCATCTCTATGCTGTAGAGCAACTGCCAGAAACTCTTCTGACATCCATTTTGGTCTTTTCCTTCTTTCTTGTTTTCTTAACGATCATTTGCTTTCTTCCTGTATGATATTCTTGATGCCATCCCACAATTCTGATCTTTGGTCTTTAGTGTATAGTGTATCAAATCTGTTCTTCAGATGATCTCTAAATTCAGGTGGAATGTATTCAAGGTCATATTTTAGCTCTTGTGGACTTGTTTTTATTTTCTTCAGCTTCAGTCTGAATTTGCATGTGAACCATTGATGGTCTGTTGCATAGTCTGGCCCGCTCTTGTTTTGACTAATTATATGGAACTTTTCCACCACCTATTTACACAGATGTAGTCAATTTGATTTCTGTGTATTCCATCTGGTGAGGTCCATAAGAATAGTAGTCTTTTATGTTGTTTAAAAAAGGTATTTGCAAAGAAGTCACTCGTCTTGGGAAATTCTATCATGCAATCTCCAGTATCGTTTCTGTCATTAGGAACATATTTTCCAACTACTGATCTTTCCTCATTGTTTCCAACCTTTGCATTCCAATCGCCAGTAGTTGTGAGTACATCTTGATTATATGTTTGATCAATTTCATACTGAAGAAGTTGGCAGAATTCTTCAGTTTCATCATCACTGGTTTCAGTTGTTGGTGCATAAATCTGAATAACTCTGGTCTTCCTGTTGTTGTTGTTATGTGCCATGGAGTCGGTTCTGACTTATTGCGACCCTGTGTAGGGTTTCCTAGGCTGTAAATCTTTACAGTCTTCCTGTAGGTGTATGAATATTATCCTATCACACACAGTCTTGTACTTCATGACAGATCCTGATATGTTCTTTTTGATGATGAATGCAACACCATTTGTCTTCAATCTGTCATAATACATCGTACACCATCTTACTATCAGATTCAGAATGACCAATACCAGTTCATTTCACCTCCACTAATGCCTAGAATATCAACATTTATGTGTTCCATTTAATTCTTGACAATTTCCAATTTTTCTAGAATCATACTTCATATATTACATGTTCTGATTACTAATGGATTTTTACAGGTATTTCTCTTCATTTTGAGTTGTGCCCCATCAGCAAATGAAGGTCCCAAGGGCTTTACTAAATTTGTGTCATCATGGTCAACTCTACTTTGAGGAGGCAGCCCTTACTCTGTAGCATTTTGAGTGACTTCCAACCTGAGGGGCTCATCTTCTGGCAATATCTGACAGTATTCTGGTGTTCTTCATCATGTTTCAATAGTCAATATTCTCTTGCTGATAGTGTCCCACTGCTATTCATAATGCTTTCAGTAACTAAATATTTAGAAGCAGTTGATCTCACCTTCTTTCTAGTCTGTCTTCATCTGGAAGCTCAGCTGAAATCTGTCCACCAAGGGTGACCCTGCTGGTATTTAAAATACCCATGAAGTAGCTTCCAGAATCACAGCAACACACAAGCCACCACAGTTTGACAAACTGACAGACGTGTGGTGAGGTATTGGTTATGCTTGATCATAGAATTAATTTGAGATTATTCCAACATTTTATATATTCTAAAATAGTTTGGTATAAATCTATAATGAAGTCATCTGGGTCATGGCCTTCTTTGGTGAGATGGTGGTAGTTTTCTTTTTTGGTAACCTTTTTAATTTCTTTTCTTTTTTTTTTTTTTATAATACTTCTGGTAAATTTTTCTACGTCAGTTTGGGTGAGTTTAGATATGTAATATGTTTCTAGAAATTTGTTTATTCTTCTACATTATCATATTATAGTACACTTCCTTATAGTATTAATGTTGTTGTTAGGTGCCATCGAGTTGGTACCGATTCATTGCAACCCTATGCACAACACAACAAAACACTGCCTGGTCCTGGGCCAACCTCACTATTGTTGCCCCAGTTGAGCCCATTGATGCTGCCACTTTGTCAATCCACCTAGCTGGGGGTCTTCCTCTTTTTCTCTGACCCTCCACCTTACCAAGCATAATATCTCTCTCCAGCGACTGGTTTTTCTTCTACTTTGTTCTGTTGGAAAGTCACTCATTTCACTTCTTATTTTTTGTCATCTGCATCTTCTCCAGCTTTTCCTTTGTTAATTTGTTCAGTGGTTTGGTAATTTTATTAATCCTTTCAAAAACCAACTTCTAATCTCATTGTTTCTATTATTTATGTTTTCTGTATCATTTATTTCTGTTCTAATCTTTATTTTTGACTTTCTTCTGATAATTGATTTTTTTATTTTGCATCTCTTTTTCTATTTGTTGAAGCTGTATGGGTAAAAGTATTGATTTGGGCTCTTTTTCCCTCTTTTATGGGTATGATTATTTTTAAGTTGACTTTTGAGCATTGATTTTGCTATGTTGAAAAGTTTTCTGATTTCATTCTAGGAAATTGTTTTATTTCATTTTTTAAAGCAAAGAGTTATTTTTCCTGTTACTGATTTAGAGCTTTGGAATTTTAGAAGATGCTTTACATTATTTTGATGTTTTTTAATTACTGAAGCCTACTTTGTGAGTAACATATGGTCTGTACTGGAGAATGATCCACATGTGCTAAAAAAGAACACACTGTGCTGTTGTTTGTTGGTGGGTTTTGTATATTGATATGAAATCAAGTTGGCTGCTTTTATTGTTTAGGTTTTCTGTATTTTTGTTCCATGTCTTTCTAGTCCTGTCCTTCATCTAAAGTGATATGTTAAAGTCTCCTATTAGAAACTTTTAGAGTGGTCTATGTCTCTTTAAAGACTGTAGAGTAACCTATTTCTCTTTCCAACTCTGTTAAAGTTTCCAACTCAATTAGCCTTCAGAGACTAGAGATGCCTATTTCTCACTCCAACTCTGCTAAAGGTTGTCTTAAGCATTTTGGAGCTCATTCATTGGGTGTATAGATATTTACCATGGTTCTATTCTCTTGTTGAATTGACCCTTTAAACATGACATATTTCCCTTCCTTCACTCCTAGGCTGGAGCCCTGGTGTGGTACTGTAGGATAAACATGGACTGCTAACCAATTTGTTTTGTTAAAATGTCACTCATCGTTAAGTCAGTAGTTCAAAGTCATCAGCTACTCAGAAATGCTATACAGGGTGGCTATGAGTTGGAACTAACTCAATGGCACACAACAACAGCAACAACAACTCTTATGCTGGTAATATTAATCTTTTTATCATCTTATTTTGCTACTCACGAAACTAAGGCTCAAATTTAAGTGGTAATATAAACATTTAGGGATAACATAGAATAAGAATCCAAATTTGGGCTTGACTATGAAGGAGCTCCGGTAGCGTAGTGGTTACGAATCGGGCTGCAAACCTTAGGGTCAGCGGTTCGAAACTACCAGCCGCTCCGTGGGAGAAAGATGAGGCTTTCTACTCCTGTAAGGATTTACACCCTCGGAAACCCTGTACAGGGTCACTATGGGTCGGAACCGACTCGACGGCACTCAACAACAACAACAATGAAGTATATATTCTTAAGAAACCCTATACAGCTACTAAACACTAAATAAGCGGTATATATTTCTTTCTAAAACTAGATTAGAAAAAGCTGCTGGCTACATTACTATTTGAAAATATCTCAGAGGTTTCATTTGAGCCCCAACAATCTTGAGGAACTAGGGTTGTTGTTGATCAGTGCTGTTGAGTCCATTCTGATTCAGAGTGATTCCATGTATTACACAGAACTGCTCCATAGTATTTTCTTGGCTGTAATCTTAATGGGAGGAGGTTGTCAGGTCTTTATCCTGTGGAATGTATGGCTATATTAGGACCACCAATCTTTCAGTTATCAGCCAAGTGTTTAACTGCTATACCACCAAGGCTACTAGAAATAACTCAACATACATTAGATCAAGGATTTATATAGTAGGTTTTGTGAAGAATCCAAATTTCATAGAAATGTGCCAAGACCGAATTCCCTGAGTATAATCAAATACTTAACATTTTTGTATAATATTTTACTCTAAAGAGATTTTTAGCTTGAGTATATGACTAATAAATTTAGCTCTTCTGGGATTTCTATTTTAGAGGCTGGCTTTCAGAAATACTAAAGAAGTACAGAATTATTTTTATTGCTAACCACAGTCTATAGCCATGCTTGAAAGTGAAGTAGATGAGCACAGCAACGTCTTGATAGCAAACAATCATTTATTTCCTTGCCCAATAATACCCTGTAATGGATAATATTCTATATTTTGGAATAGCCATTATAGTTTGGGATCAGAAAAGAAGAATTTCCCTACAATAAATAATAACAAAACTAAACAAGTCATGGAAACTTTATATAAAACAAAGTCATAGAATCTTACTCATGTACCAATGTTGAACAAAACATATGTTCACATGTAAACAAATATACAATAATAAATAATAATAATTAATTGTTGCTAAAGTATACAACTTCATAAATTATATTTTTGTGTCAATGGATTGAAACTGGAAAATTATACTGTATTTTAAAAAACTGTTTAATAACAATTTTGTTTTTTTAAATAAATGAATTCCTCAGGATACAAAAGCATAAAAAACTTGGCAAACTATCATTATTCCTAGGGTATAGTTTTATAACTGTAAATTAAAAGCAAAACCAAGCCCTGCCAATAAATACACCAGAACATCATGAGGGCACTTTAATTTCACATATGATATTTGTGTGGACAGATATTCAGGTTTTTAGAAAAGGAACCTACATATTTACTGAAAATTAATGACCTAAATAAAATATTTTGCAGGACAAAGAAAACAAAAAATGGGATAACCGACAAAATAATTTCTAATGGAATATGCAAAACTATTTAAAAATAATTGAACTAAAAAGATGTACTTCAAACAATAAGATCTATAACACTGTTACAATATATAATAAGTAGTACTAAGTGCTAGACTATAAAAGTAATAACTCTAATCACTCTAATAAATCTAATTTCAATTAGACTTCATGTATTCAGGTGATTAGATTTATTAACAACAACAAAACGTAAAATTAAGTAACTTACATAAAACACAGAGCAGGCAACTTCCCCAATTTTCTTAGCTTTTCAACAAGAAGTGGAAACATTTGTGCCATGTTTTCTGAACTACCAGTTGTTCTAGGACTAAGCTTCTTTAGTACCATTTCAGCCTGCATTGGTGAATAAAAAAATGATTTAAGTTCTGTATAACAAAGAAAATAATTAATATTTTAGCTAATATTTTCATAATTGTCTTATCTATATTTCTTTGGTTCTTTAAGTTTGTGCTAGGAAGAACATTATGAAAATAGGCAAATAAATCCACTAGACAAAGTGCATATATACATTGAAGGAGTATCAAAAAGTGTGGAAAAATCCATTTTCCTGTGAGATTTTTGAAGTTACTGTGTATACTATGTTGAAATGCATTTTTTATTGTGGTAAATATATAAGCAATAACCTCATATGCATGTGAAGTTTGGACAGTGAATAAGGAAGACCATAGAAGAACTGATGCATTTGAGTTATGATGTTGAAGAAGAATGCTAAAAATACCATGGACTGCCAAAAGAACCAATTAATCTGTGTTGGAAGAAATATAGCCAGAATCTTCCTAGGAAGCTAAGATGGCCAGATTTCATCTCTCATACTCAGACATATTATCTGGAGGGACCAGTCCCTATTTGGTAAAGTGGAGGGTCAGAGAAAAAGAGGAAGACCCCTAACAATATGGATTGGTATGGTGGCAGCAACAATGGGCTCAAATGTAGCAATGATTTTGACGTTGGTGTAGGTCTGGGCAGTGTTTCGTTCTGTTCTGTTCTAGGGTTACTATGAGTTGGTACTGACCTCAATGGCACCTAACAACAAATATAAGCAATAAAACAGGTGCCATTTCAATAATCTTCACATGTACAAATCAGTATCATTAATAATATTTTTCATGCTGCTTAACCATCAATATTAACGGTTCCCTTGTGTTTCTATATGCAGTTTTTTGATGCAATACATACTCAAGCAAAGGATTGCTCAGTTAATGATGTTGGTTATGCAGGAAAGGACTCAAGTTTCTTCCTGTATCATTAACAAAACAAGGACACTGAGTGATCTAAAATCTGTAAAGGGGTATGTCAGGGTTCTTTCACCATATTTATTCAGTCTGTGTTCTGAGTAAATAATCTGAGAAGTGGATTATATGAAGAAATGTACAACATCAGGATTGGGGGAAGATTCATTAAAATCTGTACTGTGCAGATGACACAGCCTTGCTTGTCAAGAGAAAATGAAGCATTTACTGATAAAGATCAAAGACTGTAGCATTCAGTATGGATTGTATATTAGAATAAATAAAATTAAAATCCTAACAACTGGACCGATAAACAGCACCAGTATAAACAGAAAAAAAGATTGAAGTTGTCAAGAATTTCACAATCAACGCTCATTGTGGTTATATTATTGTTAAGTGTCATCGAGTTGGTACTGACTCAGCAATCCTGTACAGGTTGAACAATCAACCTTGCAGTCCAGCACATTAACCCACAAAAACACACCAGGATTCCAAATGAATATCTGATAAGTAAGCTTACCTCTAGAACCAGGTGGGTTGCATCATTTAACAATGTGCTACCTAGAAAGCTACCAAGATTAACCTCAAACAGATAAACAAATTTCGCTGATGGCTATTGTTAAGTGCCATTGAGTAGGCTGGAATCTCTGTATAGGGTTTCTGGGGTGTGGCTGGTGAGCTTGAACTGCTGACACTGGGCTTCAAACCGACTTTGCAGTCCAGCACACTAACCCACAGCACCGCCCCAGGACTCATTGTAGTAGTAGTCAAGAAAGCAAATGACATAGTGCATTGGGCAAATTTGCTTCAAGAGACCTCTATAAAGTGTTAAAGAGCAAAAACACCATTTTGAAGTTTAATGTGTACCTGACCCATAGTATTTTCAGTCTTCTCATGTGCATGCAAAAGCTTGGCAATAAATAAGTTAAGACTTTCGATGAACTGATACATTTGAATTATAGTGTTGACAAAGAGTATTGAAATTACTATGAACTTCAAGACAAATAAACCAGTCTGTCTTGGAAGAAGTATAGTCAGAATGCTTTTAAAAGTGTGGATGGTGAAACACCATCTCATATACATTGGACATGTTATTGGACAGGATCAGTCCCTGAAAATTGCTATCATGCTTGGTAAAGTAGAGGTTTAGTGAAAAAGAGAAAGACCCTCAATGAACTGGATTGACACAATGGTTGCAATGATGACTCAAACATAGAAAAGATAGTGAGGATGTCACAAGATCAGAGAGAGAGTGCTTCAGTCTTCTGTAAATAAGATTACTTTGAGGCTGAAGCAACTACATGGCATCTAACAACACCCCACCAGCAGCTCTGTGGAAACCCTATACAGGGCTGCTATGAGTTGGAACCAACTTGACAGCACTTAGTGACAATATGTTGTTAATAAAAATTACTTCCAAATCCATTAAGTTGTTCTTTTAAAAAACAAAATAAGTAGAAGAACATATGATGCTATTGTATTACCTTGTCTCTGTAAGGGAAGAGATTTTCTAATTAATAAGTGAAAGTTACAGAGAAAAGTCTGAAATATGTCAGTCTTAGAAAATTAGAAACCTCAATATGTGATAACAGAAGGAAATAAAAATATAAATACATCAATGTACTTAAAATAAATATGCATAACTAATATGCTTACAGTTTAAGGCTTTTAATACACAAAATATTTCCTTTATGTCAAATATAAAATTATAACATCCACACTAGACAAAAACAACAAAGCAATACAAAATCCTTCTGAGTTACTGATAATCTGAGACTGGTCTCTCCATGCCAAGACATCAACTACATTGTCTTTCTGGATAGTATATCTTCAGTCCTTATCTGTTACAGCAACTTGAAGGAACCAGTCGTCTCTGGCATATTTTAAGAGATAATATTTTAAGAGATAATAAAAATATCAATTCTGCTCCTTTCTTCTTGCGTTCTTTTTATTTCCTATCTCAGAATCTCTGAACTTTCTGTTCAACTTAAAATTCTAAAGTGGAAACTAAAGTTTAAAAGGAAAAAACAAACAAACATTATATTATCTGAACAATGCACCTCAAGAAAATAGCATATAGTACTTTGTCAAAAATATGTGTGAAAATTACCTCCTTTATATGGTCATTTTCAATCCAGTTTTTTAATTCTGACTTTAAGCTCTCTTCATATTTTCTAGCATCCAACTTTTTAATGACTATTTTGTTCTTGAAATCAATGAATTTCTCAGGACATAATTCCTTGAAAACAAATACCACAAAATTACAATCACCCAAAAATATTCAAAGATGTTTTTTAATTATGTGTTTAATTAATATTACTTTGCAAGTTTCTTATGGGTGTTCAACTTTTTATCTCCCTGTGCATATTAGGATGGATGACCTCTCCAAAGGACAAAATATAGAAGAAGATGAAAACTTCTTCTATATTTACAGCAGTGAAAGAAAATGAAGGGATTTAAATTCAAGAAGTAGAGAATGCTAAAATATAGGATCCCAGATATTTAAAAAAAAAAAAGAGGAAAGAAATAGAGTCAGGACTCAATAGTGTTCCATCCCATTAAAATAAAACATGAAATGTTAAAAAATAATGCCAAACAAGGGGTCAGTTATTTGGGAAAGGGGCCACTGATAATTTTTAAAGATCAAATTCAAGTGATTAGAAAGGATAAGACTTTGTTTTTCTCAACAGTAATGCTATCATCTTGTTTAATAGCATCAATCCAAATTAACTTTCATGATTATTATTTACCTGGGCTTTAGGCCAAGTTTTCCAGACTTGAACCATGGTGTCATAAAGCTGGATGCTTTCTCGAGGTGAAAGGGTAAGATCGGAAGGGAATCCATACTTGTCAATCTGTGTTTAAAGTAAAATTAAACTTTTTACTCTTCCTTTTATTTTATCTTACGTCTTATCCTTTGCTCAAAGCCATATCCACAAACCACAAGATATCGAGGGGCACTAAACTAAATATTCAAATGCTGATAGGTGCCACATGCTAACAAAATATGAACCAATGGAGTTGCTGATTTATTAAAGCAGAAACCCCCAAATGTCCAGCAAAAAGATTTCATATACTTGCTCAAAACTGCCTCCAGAACACAAAACAGCCTACTGGATAGATGGAATATATACAAACTTAGTTTACAAAGCATCATGAAACCTCTATGCTGAAACTAAAAGTGAAATTAGTTTACTTATGAAGATGTTTTTGAGTTTTATAAATATCACAAATTTAGTTGACATCAAGTTGATTCTGACTCATGGCAATCCCATGCTTATCAGAGTATAGCTACAATTACATAGAATATTTCCGGTTGTGCCCTTTTGAAAATAGATCTAGAGGCTTGTCTTCTGAGTCATTGGTAGGTGAGTTTGAACCACCAGACTTTCATTTAGTACTCAGGCATTTAACAATTTGCATCATCCAGGGAACTGCTGAGTAACAAGCCAGACTAAAAAGTACAAATCTTACATATTTAAGTTCAAAGATAAGAGATACGTGAAATTTAAGACAAGATTGCCAGACCATCATCAGACACCAAAATAAACTTCTTCCAAGATCACTGAATTATTTCTGCTTTGAGTATTCTGGATGTATTTATCATTCAACTTATCCACAATCATCTGGTGTGGTGCTGTAGGATAAGTACTGAACGACTCACAGAAACATCAGCAGCTCAAACCCACCAGCCATTCCTCAGAAACCCTATATATGACAGATATGAGTCGGAACCGAAGTTCTCTTTGTTTCCAACAGGCAAAGTTGTGTCACCGTCATTATGAAAGTTGTTAATGAGTCTTCCTCCAATGCTGATGCCACACTCTTCTTGATATAAGCCAGCTTCTCGGATTGCTTAAATAAGGATGGTGACAGGATACAACCCTGCCACACAACTTTTCTGATTTTAAACCCTCGTTATCTTCTTAACAAGAGTATATTGTCCTTCTTTAGAGACTGGTCCCTTCTGATGATATGTCCAAAGTATGGGACATGAAGTCTTGGCATCCTGGCTTCTAAGGAGTATTCCGACTTTTTCAACACTTTTTGTTCTTCTGGCAGTCCATGGTATTTTTGATATTCTTCTCCATTACCATAACTCAAATGCATCAAGTCTCCAGTTTCTTTATTCATTGTTTAACTTTCACATGAATATGAGGCTATGGAAAACACAATGGCTTGGGTCAGATGAACTTAAGGCTTCAAATTGATATCTCTGATTTTTAACACTTTAGAGAAGTCTTGCATAACAGATTTGCCTAATGCAATACATCATTTGATTTCTTGACTGCTACTTCCATGAGTGCTGATGGTAGATCCAAGCAAAGTGAACTCTTTGAAAACTTCAGTCTTATCTTAATTTATCATGATTTTATTTATTGGTCTAGTTGTGAAGATTTTTGTTTTCTTTACATTGAGGTACAATCAGCATTAAAGGCTGTGGCCTTTGATCTTCATCTATAAGTATTTTAAGTCCTCTTCACAATGTTGTCTCCATCTCGCATATGCACATGTTTCATTCCTCTTTATAGAATCCAGTTTCTTGGATTATTTGTTCAGCATATGGATTTAGTAAATTTAGTGAAAGGAAATAGCCCTGGTGCACACCTTTCCTAATTTTAAACCATCAATATGCCCTTTTCTGTTTGCATGACTACCTTTTAGTCATTCCTGATGAGCAAATTCAAATGTTCTGGAATACCCATGTTTTGCAAATGTTATCTATAGCCTTCCAACTTGAAGCACTTATCTTCTGGCACTGTATTTGACAATATAATATGTATACTATGAAGATCTGTAGAGTCAATTCTGACTCATTGAAACCCTGTATAATGAAATATGATGAAAAGCAACAGTTATATTGTCAGATAGAGTGCCAGAAGATGAATGTCTCAGGTTGGAAAGCACTCAAAATATGACTGGGGAAGAGTTGTTGCCTAAAAGTAGATTTGACTATGATGATGTAAATGGAATAAAGCTTTTGAAACCTTCATTTACTGGTGGGGCACAACTCAAAATGAAGAGAAACAGCTGTAAACATACATTAAAAAATGGAATGATATCCTAGGCATTAGTGAACCGAAATGGACTGATATTGGTCATTTTGAATCTGACAGTCATATGTTTTACTATATCAGGAATGACACATTGAAGAGTATGGGGCCTAAAGTGGAATCTTGAGATCCACCCAGAATCTTCTGAGTTGAGACAGTCCCACTTAAAAAGACATTCAGAACAACCCAGAACTGCTGGAAAAACAGAAGATTCTTATAGAAAGAAAGACCTACAGAAAAAAAAAAAAAAAAAAAAAGTGGAATGTTTGACTACTAAAATATCAAGCAAGCTGTTTGCTATGGAGCAATCAAGACAAGAAAAGTCAGTCCATCAGGGAAACCCCCCTGCTAGGACTGAAATTTAAAGGGAACCCTCAGGTAGTTTACTATTTTAGCTGGTGACTACTTGGGTCTACTTGTGAGTGGATGTGGGAAAATGCAGTGATGAAGCCATAGGCTGAGTTTGGCCACAATGCATTGACACAGTTGACCTTGAGATGAGGGAGAGAGAAGAGGAAGAGCTGGCTGGTCTGAACTTTAGGGAGATGTGTGAACTCCGGAGCTCATGTGCACTGACCTAACCTGGGGCTAGAGCTGAGAGTGAAGTGCTAGCTGTTCTGAAGTGCTGGGAGGTATGTGTGAACTCCCCAACTTGCAGCTGGTACCCATTTGCTCTGGCATGTATGGCTAGCTGAATGGAACTCGACCAGATGAAGCTAAAGATGCTTGATGCTGTGAGAAAAGGTAAATTGCTACATTTGACAAACTAGACTTTTGTTTATGAATGCAGGTGCTCAAAATGCTAACCAGAATGGAGCAATTCTTCACATTAAGGAACATGCTTGTTCCTCAGTGCACTGAGTTCATAGGAACAGATTTAAAGGAACTGGGTTTACAGGAACTGGCAATTTACACATTGGTTATAAAAAATGGTGTTCTATACTCCACTGAATGATTTCCAATCTGTTGGGACTGGGCTGGAGAAAGGAAATGAGGATAAGACTCTTGTGGTACAATAGTGAATAATTGCCATCAGGACTGACTGTGAGGGTCAGAAATGTAGAGGTAGATGTTTTTTGACAAAAGGAAGAGCATGATTGATTTTGCAGCCCAGGAGCAGAGGTTCCTGGGACCATCAAGTAAGAACAGAGAGTGTGACCCTACCCAGAGATGCAGTGGTGCCAGAGATGGAGACAGAGACAATAATGTGGATAGATGGAGCAGCTGGGGACACTGGACTCAGGGAGGCAGAGGGGCTGTGTGCTGATGGCTGGTGGCAGGGGAGCAGGCCTGTGGGATGCATCCTTTGGTTATTTGATGATGCATGGAGGGTATTGTAATCATTGCAATGAAATGAAATATGATAGGATGAATGTAAAACTGATGTTCTCCCATGTAAATCCACATAATTCATAATAAAAACTTAAAATGATAAAGAATTGATGCCTTTGAGTCATGGTGTTGGAGGAGAATATTGAAAGTGCCATGGGCTGCCTAAAGAACCAATAGATCCGGTTTGGAAGAAGTGCAGCCAGAGTGCTCCTTAGAGGCCAAGATGGCCAAACTTTGTCTCTCATACTTTGGACATATTTTCAGGAGGGAACAGTCACTGGAGAAGGATATCATGTTTGGCAAGGTGGAGGGTCAGAGGAAAAAAGGAAGACCCCCAACAAGATGGATTGGACAAATGGCATCATTGATGGACTCAAGCGTGGCAATAATAGTGAGGTTTGCCCAGGATCAGGCAGTGTTTCATTCTGCTGTGCATAAGGTCGCTGTGGGTCGGTACCAACTCGATGGCACCTAACAACAACAACAACACATTTTAGAAAAGGTACATGCTGAACACAGTTAACCATTATCAAAACATAATACAAAGCCTAAGCCTTTGCTTTTTTATTTTTAAAAAATTTTATTGTAAACCTTTGCTTTTATCTTATATTCCTGCTGCAAAAAGTCTAGAAGTCTTTAGGATTCTCATAAAACAGTAGAGCCTTTTCAGAAGTCATACAGGGTCAGAGCACACTGTAGCAGTTCTGCTGGTTTCCAGTTATTCCATTAATAGCCTTTGAGAACAGGGAAAAGGCACTTGGACCGAAACAATGATCTTGGCAAACTCGAAACCACTGCACTCAGGACTGTTTTGAGATAACCTACCTTAAACCATGCTAAGTAGAATTCACAATTTAAAAAATATATTTGTTGTTGTTGTCAGGTGCCATCGAGTCGGAACCGACTCATAGCGACCCCATGCACAGCAGAACGAAACAATATTCGATCCTGGGCCAACCTCACTACTGCTGCCACACCTGAGTCCATCAATGATGCCACCTGGCTGATCCATCTCATTGGGGGTCTTCCTCTTTTTCTCTGACCCTCCACCCTACCCAGCATGACATCCTTCTCCAGCGATTGTTTCCTCCGGACAATATGTCCAAAGTAGGAGAGATGAAGTTTAGCCATCCTGGCCTCCAAGGAGCACTCTGGCTGCACTTCTTCCAAAACAGATCTATTGGTTCTTTTGGCAGTCCATGGCACCGTCAGTATTCTCCTCCAACACCACAACTCAAAGGCATCAATTCTTCTACGATCCTCCTTATTCACTGTCCAGCTTTCGCATCCATATGAGGCTATTGAAAACACAATGGCCTGGGTCAGGCGCACCCTAGTTCTCAAGCTGACATCTCTACTCTTCAACACTTTAAAAAGTTCCTGTGCAGCAGATTTGCCCAGTGCAATACGTCGTCTGATCTCTTGACTGCTACTTCCGCGAGTGTTGATAGTTGATCCAAGAAGAATGAAGTCCTTGACAACTTCAATCTTTTCTCCATTGATAACAATGTTGTTTATTGGTCCAGTGGTGAGGATTTTTGTTTTCTTGACATTGAGATGTAATCCATATCGAAGGCTGTAATATATTATGTAGTTTAAAATATGCCAGATGCAAATGAAAATAAGATAATCACTGCATGAAACACGATAACCATTGGACATCCAGCAGTAAAATGGATCAAGTGTTTTAAGTAGAAAAATCACTGAGGCCAGGCTACTGAAGACCTTAGATGCCAATCTAAAAAGTTATACATTTGTTTTTTTTTTTCAAAGTGAAGCCATTGAAGCTTTGGATAAATAAGAAGGACACTTTCGAAGGACACTTTCAACGGATTAATCTGCCAGGAAGGAACCCTGGTGGCCAATGTTTAAGTGCCTGGCAGCTGATTGAAAGGTGAGTGATTCAAACTCACCAGCCTCTGCATGGAGAAATAACCTAGAGATCAATTCCCATACAGAGTAAAGCATAGGAAATCCTTTGGGACAGTTCTACTCTGTTCTACCGTGCTGCTAAGAATCAGAATCAACTGCATGGCACACAGAAACAACAAAAACCTACTAAGTGAATTCAGACTATATTTAACCAGCTAGTAGGTCTCAGAAGGAAATCACCTGTTTATAATGTCACTATCACAGTAACATCTTGAATGACCAAGTCACAGGAATAAGAAGAAAATGAAGACAACTAGGTAATACAAATTAATTAATCTTCCCTCATTCACACCCTATATCAAAATTAAATTCTCTTAAGGACTCTGCTTTATTGTTCCAATATCGAAAAATTATACTATGATTGCTATGCTAGTAAGAAATGCCTTTTCCTTGTTTAAACGAATTCATAGTCATCAAATTCTTATATATACTAGGCACTATTCAAAACAACTGGTAGTTGCACTGAAAGAAGAAGCCTGCTAGCATAATAGTTAAGTGCTTAACTGCTAACCAAAAGATTACTAGTTTGAGCCCACCTAATGGCTCAGGAGACAAAAATCTGAGGATCTGTGTCGCTAAAGACTAGGAAACTCTATGGGGAAATTCTATTCTATCACCTGAGGTCATTATGAATCAGAATCAATTTGACGGCACTGAACAACAACAAAACTGACAGAAAAGTTAGTATCAGGTTAGCTGAATGATATGGCTGCTGGAAAGAAGGACAGTAGAGAAAAAATAATGTCCAGAAAGAAGGAAAATAAACCAAGTAATTCAAGGCTACAATTTTACTAAGTTTTAAGCTAAATAGACTCAGAAACCTATGAAGACCATCCTTGACATTAAGTATCATTATCCTTAAGACTAAAAAGTTGAAATATCAGCTGTAGGGCATTATTTTTTCTGCAATTCTGGTAAGAATCAATTGGGTTACTTTTTAAGGTAGGATAGTAGTGGTGGTGGTTATGTGCTGTGGAGTTGGATATTACTCAAACAAAGCTGCTTAAAATATTACTTACATGATCTGCTGTTAGCGCAGCACATGGGTGAAAATGATCAAAATAAACATCATTATCTTTCAATGAACATATATGCTTCTCTAAATCATTGTATCTCTCTCCATAGAGTACTGAAAATGAAATACAAAAATTTCTCTATCAATAAATAAATCATGATTTGAATAACTTTAAGACAAAATATGAAAATGCTTATGGATATATGAAACATACCAAGTCGAACTTTATATGATTGCTTTCCTTGCAAGTAACTTTTGAAAAAACTAGCATGAGAGGCAATCTTTCTATTAGAAGAAGCATTATTTTTTTCAATCATATTGTCCATTTTCTTCCAGTATAGTTTTACAGATTGTAACCACCTTAAAAAAATAAGTTTGAATATTATTTAGGTAGAACATGAATTATTCAAATGAAATTAAATATTATGCACACAGAAATTTTATGTGCCTGTGGCAATGTGGGTTTGAACATAATGTCGGTGATTCAAGCTCACCAACTGCTCCTTGGAAACCCTATACAGGGTCGCTATGAGTTGGCACCAACTTTATGGCACTTAACAACAACAATAATCAGGTTCAGCCTTTTTCATCACTCTTTCTCTGTGTAACTGTGATCTTACATATGGGTATTCCACTGCTAAAACAGTAGCTGACAATGAGAAGATACCCCATAAGTATTTCTTGAATAAATGAATGTCTTTTAACCAAATACAGCTAACGGAACTAGATTCAGTGAAGATTAGATTCAGGGAAGACGCTCAAAACTAGATTCAGACTACCCGTGATTGAACACCAGTTTCATTGTTAATGAGATGTGGCTCTTTTGGTTGAGTCACTTAGCCTCACTTTGTCTACTTTTCATTAAGACTGTCAGATACATAGAATTAATTAGTAAATGCAAAGAACTTAGAGCAGTACCTGGCACTGAGAAAGTATTAAAGGTATCTTTTCTATAGTTGCTATTATTACAAGGGGAAAAAAATCAAACGTAACAACAAAATAATGTGGTGTTGTAGGATAAGCACTGGACTGCTAACCAAAATTTTGACAATTCAAACCCACCAGCCATTCCTCAGAAACCCTACATGTGGTTACTATGATTCATAAGGGACTCAGTGGCACTTAACACCATCAACTAATAATGTTTCTAATTATGTTTGCTGTTTTTCTATTTAAGAAATTGCAGTGTCCATAGCTGAGTTTGTCATTATGCCATTTTATTATATTATTATTAGACTTCTTAATAAAAGACAAAGGAAAAGTATTATAAATACAGCATTTATTGGGAATCTTTTCAGAAACGTGAGGGAAATTTTCCTATTAAATTGTAGATCTATCTAGGAGTGTCCTTGATTTTTCTGTACAGAAGAAGCCTTTACTCAGTACCTGCCAGGATGCAACAGAGAGGGTCTGTTCTTTAAAGATGAAGAAGCAAGTTAAGAAATTAACCCAAAAGTTATATCATTCTTCAGAACCCACATGTTATTGATAAGTGCCATTTAGTTGGTTCAGTCTCAGCAACCGTGTACATGGTTTCCAAGGACCATGGGTTTGAACCCTTGAGTTCGCGGTTAGCAGTCCAGTGCTTATCCTACAATGCTACACCAGAACTCCAGAACCCATAAAGAAATCATAAAATTAAAACATTCTAAGTAGGTAAGCATTCTGCCCAAATTGAAACTAATACCTACTCAGTAAGATGTTTAGGGTTACTTATTGTAGCTGAAAGAGCTAAAAAGGGACATCGGATCATGACAAGGAGGTGTTCCCAGACTTCTGCTCCAATTTCTCCACCAAGACAATGAATCTGTTAAAGATAAAATTTTCAGTTGAAAATCTGATTTAATAATCATAACTGAAAATAAGATAGGAAAGCATGCAATAGTCATATGTAATTTTCCAGATACATTTCATTAACCATGACAAAATTAAACGCTGTTGTTGTTATGTGCTGTTGAGTCAGTTTTGACTCATAGTGATTCTGTATAGGGCTTCTGAATACTGGCTGGTTAGTTGAAACTTACTTCTGACCTTGTGGTTTACAGTTGAGTGTTTATCCTACAGTGCCACACCAGGAGTTCATGCTAAGGTTAAATTGTGTTTTGTTTTTTTTTAATTGACATTGCCAAATTCAGTTAGTACAATATCTTCATAACTTAATTTTCTCAAATACCATCGCAAATTCCTCTTTACTTTACTTATAGGAACTTCTTTCACATTGATGGAATTCTATCCTTCTCTATTTTCTAACCAAGCTATCATTATATCTCACTTCAACTACTATAACATCCTGCTGACTGCTATCTTTGCTTCTACACCTGACCACATCCTTCAAACAGAACCATAATATGTTTAAAGGTAAATGAATGACTCTATATCCCTAACTAAATTTATTTCAGCATCATCACATTGTAGATGGAGCAAAATATAAACTCTTTTATAGGGTATGAAATGTTTGTCATAATCTGGCCTCAGTTTACCTAATGTATTAAGATCAGCACAATGTCATTAAGAAACACTTTGCTGACCACCCATTCCAGATTACCTCTTTGCCCATCCTGCCATTATTGCAGTAATGACAGCCTGCTCTTTCTCTTTATGATATGGGCCAATATGGACTAACATAGCCATGGATGTGCTTACTTGTTTCATTCCTTCTCAATTAAACTGTGACCTTACAGCTTACCAACACAGTGCCTGACGTTGAAGAGATACCCTGTAAGTATTTGAATGTCTTGATATCCTGAATAAATGAATGCCTTTTGACCAAAGTTAGCTAACTGAACTAGATTCAGGGAAGACTCTTAAATGTGGTCTTCATTGGACATATTAAGATACCTGACAATCAACTAAAAAAGGCTTTTCTCTCAGAGAAGCCTAATAATATAAAAAAATATATATTTTTACAACTCAATATCTTGGTCCTGGTACTTGACTAAATATTAAACTTACACTTTGTACTAGGTAGTATGTTTCTAAGACTCAGATGGACTAGATATTCACCTTCAAAAGCATTCAAGTTTTACCCTTATGTAAAATTGTGAATACTGAGGTAAACTATGTCATATACATTCAGAGATGAGACTACAATTCAACATTCTAGACGGGAAGCTCAAAGGTTTTTGTTTTTGTTATTAAAGTAAGGAATATTCAAGATTTTCAAGAAACAATATATACAAATTAACCCAAAATAACTAATATAAGGAGTTATTCAAGATCAAACAAATAAAAAACTAGTAGTTACTACAGTTTGGTAGCTCTAAAATATACAACAAAAAGGAAAGACAAAAATAATTTTTCATATAATTCCTAAATATAAACTATTTGTTCCTAAAAATATCTATTATAGTCCACTCTGATCTCTCCAACAATTAATTTTTATTTGTCCCTAAAAATAACTACCATTTTCCACACTACTTTGCCCACCCAGAGAAACTGACCTATAAGAATTACCTTACAAAGTAACCCCATGCTGCCTGGTTGGATCAAGTCTGAACAATAAAGAGCCCTGGCAATTGTTCAGAGAAAGGAGCAAGAATAAAGATGAGGCCATTTTTCCTTTGGGACCCTTCCTGGAAGATTACCTTGATATGACTTTGTATGTCAACCAAGGTAAAAAGGGATTCTCGCAATGTGGTCATCTTAGCAGAAACCTCCTTTCTAATTCTAGTAATTGTTTTTTCATCTTACCCTTTTACAATCAGGAATAAACAATTAATTCTGAATTACGAAATAAATTCTTATAATTTCTCTCATACTCATATGAGGAGACTTCAAAAAGTTTGTGGAAAATGGAATTAATTTTTCTACGAATTATTTGGAGCATCTGGCAGCTTTTAAAAAAACACCCGTCTTGAATTCTTGTATTTTGAATATGCTATCTATTTTCTGTTGGGATAACAACTGATGATATAAATTATATAACTGTCCTTACTTTTGGAAATTATATAGCGATATTCTGTGACATTAAAGCTCAAAGATTATAATTTGAAGTCCTACCCTAGGAAATTTATGACATGAAACAGTAGTGACTAATAAATGATTTCTCTCCAATACAGGATGTACTGATAAACTATGGAGTCACAACAGGAAAATGAAGTCGAAAGATTGATTGTGATTCATTGGGAAGAGAGTTTTGAAGGAAGTATCCATCTAACCTGAACCTCAACTAAAGGAGCTGATACCCTAAAATACCAAAGATATTAATTATAGCACTGTACACAGTTGTTGTTATATGCGTGGAGTCGGTTCCGACTCACAGTGACCCTGTACAGGGTTTCTGAGGCTGTAAATCTTTCCGAGAGCAGAAATCCTCATCTTTTTCCCACGAAACAGCAGGTAGTTTCGAACTGCTGACCTTGAGGTTCGCAGCCCGATTCGTAACCACTATGTTACCAGGGCTCCTTGACTGTACACAGTAGGACATCATATATTGAACCTACCTCGTCAAATATAACGTATCTAATCCTTCTTGCCCATTTTTGCTGATGAGGAGCAAGCAACAGAATTTCAAGGCAGGCAGGCACTGTAATAAGTACCTAAAAACAATTATATTGTGTGAAATAACAGTTTTGAGTACTTATGAAAGATAGACATTTATATGAAAATATATATATATATATTTAACTTTATGAGTCAATCAATATTCTTTCTGATCTTTAGGGTATAATACCAAAATCAAACCCATTGAGTTCAAGTTAATTTCACCTCATGGATATAGTCTTAAAGCAAGCAGATAGCACAGCCTTTGTTTCATGGTACCACTGGGTGGGTTTCATCTGCCAACCTTCTGATTAATAGTCCAATTCAACCCATTGTAAAATGAGTTTCATTAAGATTGTTATTGGTTATGAAGATTGTAACATTTTAAGTCAAAAACTGAAATGTCAGCTTTGAAATTTAAATTCTTAAATATATAAGCACTCGGAGTATTTAAAACAGAAATGATTGTCACAGGTTTTGTTCTCCAAAACTTGACTTTGAGTTTGGGGTGCAACAAATATGAATAAATAAATAAGATGGTACAAAAGAGATGTTAAGCTGCAAAGTAGGCCTGATGAAACCTTGGCCACCCTAGCTTAGAGGTCTGGTATTATGACTGCTCTCAGAGTTGTCACACATTAGGTCAAAATGGTGGACTGGTTAGAGCCCTGGCTACCTCAAGACTCCAGGGGCAGTACACCTGGGAGAGCTGACAAATAGTATCTGCCGTGGCCATATTCCCCATAGCTGTGCAGAAAACATTCCTCAAAGGATAGTCTGGATACCAAATCTCCAAGTCTACCACTGTTTTTCATAGGCACTGTTTTGTTTAGTCATAATTGTTTACCTGGACATTCACTAAGAAATCTATATTTTTCTATGATTAATCTAACATTAATAATACAACATTTTTTACTCATCAAGAAAATGTAATTCTTATTGGCAACCTGTGTTTGTTAATTTTCTTATAATTTATTAGGATTTCCAGATAATTTTGAATCCATTTATAAATCAAGATAGTGAGTTTTTATTATTTAAGTCTGAAAATAAAATTTAAGGGTCTTTAGAGAATCATGAGTTCTAGTTCTCTTTCTTTGTAATGAACAATATTATATTTTTTTCTGAAGCCATTTTGTGTTTTGTAAATTCAAGGAAATTATTTTATCTGGCCTTGTAAAGGTGTTGGAATCTTAGTCAAAGAAATATATAAGTACTGCTCCATAATTTGACAATAAGTCATCAATTAATATATCCTACCTGACAGTTTAGCGCATCATGGCGATATTCTCTTGTAAAAACACCACATAGAGCTTTACCACTTGGAAGATTTTTCACAAAACGATTCTCAACAGTTGCTGCCACTTGATTAACAAGGGCCTGATTAACAAGAAAAGAGATTTATTCATAACATAATAGAAGAGACACAGGTAAAATCTTAAAGTACAACAGAATCTATCTATGAGTATGTTCTGCTATGGGTGCAAACAATCAATAATAGTTTCATTATATCTACACTAAAGTACTCTCTTTGTGTGAAGCTGTAGGTCAATGTGCTGGACTGCAAGACCGACTTTGTGGTTCAAACCCTGTATGGAAACCCTATACAGACAGGGTTGCTATGAGTCAAAACAGATTCAACAGCACTTCGCAACAACAACATTAAGCACATTGATAAACCTCAGTTTAAGTAAAATGGAACAAAAGGACAATAGATAGCTTCATCATGAAGAAAAAAACAGGAAACAATGCCCTCCCTCCTCCTAAGCATGTACATACGTAAGAAAAAACAGCTGAATACCTAGACAACCAAGGCTTAGAAAGAAGCTTGAATCTGCTGAAGAAGGAAGATCATATGAGGTAAAAAATATAGGTATGTGACTTATGTCTGAGGACTTCTCCCAATTTCAATTTAAATATACACATAAATAACTAGACTGGTGGTGGTAGTGGTGTGCCTTGGAGTCAGTTCTGACTCATAGCGACCCTGGATAGGGGTTCTTTCTGAGGCTGCAAATATTTACAGGACCAGAAAGCCTTATCTTTTCCTGCAGAACAGCAGGTAGTTTCAAACTGCTGACCTTGAAGTTAGCAGCCTGACTCTGAACCACTAGTCTAGGCTTCACCTAAAACAGGTTTCTTGGCCAGTGGAATCTGAAGGAGGGGAAAACTATGAACATTTATATTTTCCTCTAAAAATCTACAGATTAAAATATGAATTTTAATATGCAACCACAAATGTACTATAAAGAAGACATATTCATATATCCTGTTTATTCGATCACACATACAATAAAAATGTTAATATCTGAAACACAAAGATACTGATAATTGTTATCATTTAAATAACATTAAATATACTGCAAGGAAAAAATGACGAGTGTTAAAAATAATGGTTATAGTCATGTCAGAAAAATGGTCAATATGCTTATTATATATATAAAACTCTGATAATTCAATAAAGAAAAAATCCTTTGTAAGATAAAACTGGGCAAATGCATCAACAGGGAGATCACAAATAAAGAATTTTTAATGATAAAAGCTCATGCATAAAGATGTCCAAATCACTGCAATCACAGAAATGAGTAACAGTTTTTACCTATGATTATGGGAAAACTTTTTAAAATGGTAATAAAGAATGTTGGATAAGGTGAGCAAAGTGACAATGACATATACTTCCAATGGGAATTAAAATGGATCCAAACTTTTATGAGGGTAATTTAGCAAAAGCCATTGCATTTGACTCAATAATTCCATTAGTTGTTGTTGTGGTCATCAAGCATGGAACCTTATGCACAAGAGAACAAAACACTGACCTATCCTGGGCCAACCTCCCAATTGTTGCTATGCCTGAGCCCATGGCTGCTACCTACTGTGCCAAACCATCTTATCAGATGTCTTCTTCTTTTTCTCTGACCCTCCTCTTTACTAAACATGATATTTGTCTCCAGTGACTGCTCCCTCCTGATAATATGTCCAATGTATGAGAGACAAAGTCTGGCCATCCTGGCCTTCAAGGAGCATTCCAGCTGTACTTCCAACAGAGATCTGTTTGTTCTCTTGGCAATTCATGGTACTTCTAGTATTCTCCTCCAACACCATAACTCAAATGTATCAATGCTTCTATGGTCTTCCTTCTTCACTGTCCAACTTTAACATGTATATGAGGTTACTGAAAATACCATGGCTTGGATCAGGCACACCTTAGTCTTCAAATTGACATCTTTGCTCTTCAACACTTTAAAAAGGTCTTGTATAGCAGATTTACCCAATGCAATATGTCATTTGATTTCTTGGCTGCCGCTTCCATGAGTGTTGATTGTTGATCTGACAAAATGAATTCTTTGACAACTTCAATGTTTTCTCCATTTTTATGGATTTTATTATTGGTCCAGTGGCAAGGATTTTTGTCTTCTTTACACTGAGATGCAGCCCATTCTAAAGGTTGTGGTCATTGATATTCATCAGGAAGTATTTTGAGTCTTCTTTACTTTCAGCAAGCAAGTTATATCATCTGTATATCACAGCTTGTTAATGAGTCTTCCAGTCCTGATGAACTTGTCTCCATATAATCCAACTGCTCAGATTATTAGTTTAATATACAAATTGAGTAAGTATGATGAAAGAAAACAACCTGGATGCACACCTTTCCTAAATTCAAACTATTTAGTATTACTACGTTCTGTTCGAACAATTGCCTCTTCATTTAGGTACAGGTTGCTCAAGACCATAATTAAGTGTTCTGGAATACTCATTCTTTGCAATGTTGTCCATAGCTTGTTATGATCCACACACTTGAAATCCTTTGCATATTCAATAAAGCACAGGTAAACCTCTTTCTGGTATTCTTTGCTTTCAGGCAAGATCCATCTGATGTCAGTAATGACATCCCTCATTCCATGTCCTCTTCTGAATCCAGCTTGAACCTCTGGAAGTTCTCTGTCAATGTACGGGTACAGCCATTTCTGTATTATCTTTAGTAAAACTACTCGCGTTTGATATCAATTATATTATCTGATGTTTTCCACAATCAGTTGAGTCACCTCTCACAGCCACTATTATGGATCTCTTCCAGTCAGTTGGCCAGGTAGGTGTTTTCCAAATTTCTTGGAATAGTTGAGTGAGTGCCTCTAGTGATTCATCAGTTTCTGGAAACATTTCCATTTATATTCCATCAATTTCCAGTGCCATGTTCTTTTCCAATGCCTTCAGTGCACCTTGGATTTCTTCCTTCAATATCATTGGCTCTTGATCATATGCTACCTCTTGAAATGGTTGAACACCTACCATTTCTTTTGGGGATAGTGACTGTGTATTCCTTGCATCTTCTTTTGATGCTTTCTGCATCACTCAATAGTTTGTCCATAGACTCCTTCAATACTTCAAATTACAGGTTGAATTTGTCTTCGGTTCCCTTAGCTTGAGAAAGGCTAAGTGTTTTCTTTGCTTTGGGCTTTCTAACTCCAGGCTTTTGCCTATTTTATTATAATATTTGACTTTGTCTCCTCGATTTGGCTTCAGAAATTTTCTGTTCAGCTCTTGTACTTCCTCATTTCTGCTATTTGCTTTAGGATCTCTATGCTGGAGAACAAGTTTCAGAGTCTTTTCTGACATCCATTTTGGTCTTTTCCTTCTTTGTTGTCTTCTTAATGACCTATTGCTTTCTTCCTGTATGATGTTTTGATGTCATCCTACATCTCTTCTGGTCTTCAGTCTTTTGTGTCTAATGCATCAAATCTGTTCTTCAGATGATCTCTAAATTCAGATGGGATATATTCAAGGTCCTATTTTGGCTCTCATGGATTTTTTTTTTTTTAATTTCCTCAACTTCAATCTGAATTTGCAAATGTGTAAGTGATGCTCTATTCCACAGTCTGCCCTTGGCCTTGCTTTGACTGGTGATATGTAGCTGTTCCACAGTCTCTTTATACAGATGTAGTCAAGTTGATTTTTGGACATCTTTGAAAACATAGGGACAAATGTAAGCACTTTTAAACAAGGCACACCTAGACTATGAAACATTACAAATTTATACAAACAAAAGAAGATAAAATAGATTATTGGGACATACTAAAAATTAGAAACTTATGTGCATCAAAAGATTTCACCAAGACAGTGGAGGGAGCCCACAGAATGGGAATTTTTTTTTGCAATGAACTATCAGACAAGGGAATAATCTCTAAAATCTATAGGAAAATACAACACCTCTACAAGGAAAAGACAATAACCTATTTTAAAAACTGGGCATATGACATGGACAGACAATTCACCAAGGAAGACATCTGGGCAGCCAACAAACATATGAAGAAATGTTCACAATCATTAGACATCAGAGAGATGCAAATCAAAACAACAATGAGATATCATCTCACACCAATAATAAAAGCTAAGTTCAAAAAAGCAGAGGGCAGTAATTGCTGGTGAGGATGTGAAGAGACTGTGATGCTCCTACATTGCTAGAGGGAATGTAAAATGTTTCAACCACTCTGGAAAATGGTATGGTGCTTCCTCAGAGAGTATGAAATAGAAATACCTTGTTGTTCTTGTTAAGTGCCGTTGAGTCAGTTCCAACCTAAGTGACCCTGTATAGGGTTTCTGAGGAGCGGCTGGTGAGCTTGAACCACTGACCTTGCAGTTCAAATGACTTTTCAGTGCAGTGCACTAATCCACAGCACCACACCAGAAATACCTTACGATCTGGCAATTCCTCTATTTAGTATACATCCACAAGAAATACGAGCCTGAACACGAGTAGATACATGAACACCAATGTTTATTGCAGCACTATTCACAACAGCAAAAGTATTGAGACAGCCTAATTGTTCATCAGTGGAAGAATGACTAAGCAAACTTTGGTACATACACAAAATGGAATACTATGCTACCCTGAAGAATAACTACAAAGCTGCAAAACAACTCATATCATGGATGAACCTTGGGGATATTATGTGGAGTGAAATCAGTCAGTTACAAAAGGACAAATATTGCATAAAACCATTATTGTAAAAACTTCAGAAATGATTTCCATACTAAGAGATAAAAACAACCTGTTTGATTGTTATCAGGGGTGGGAGGGAATGGACAGTAAGGCACAAGTTAGGGAGCAGTCACATCATAGCTAGGGTGATGGGGAGGGCAATATACAAGTAGGGAGAGAGCAGTACACTACACAAGAAGGGGAAGGAGTAGAGGAACAAGGAAGATAGAGGAACACTTAGGTAGGTTTTGCATGGGCTAAATAGGACAAGAGTAAATAGTGATGAATACTAACCTTGGAACAACAAAGCTCCATAATTCAGGGATCAAGGCATAGTCTGAATGGGTAAAAGAGGGGAAATAATATTAAGGTGCTTGACTGTCTTGCAGATATTGCCTTCCTTTGCCTACTTCTATAAAACAGACATTTAAGTGGGATAGAAAGGAATATTGGGAAATATGATTACAGAAAGCTTGTAAGCCTGTCTTCAGCCTAAAACTGATTGAAATAGCTAAAAAGGTTCTAAAATTTACTCAGTGAAATTGGCTTCTTGTTGAACCTTTGAAGAGTATGAGACCTTAGGTAGAATCCTGAGCCACAGCCAAAACCTTCTGAGGTGGGACATTCTCCATTTAAAGGACATGCAGATCAATCTGGAATAGCTAGATGAATGAAAGACAGTTCTCAAAAGAAAGACTAGCAAGGGAAAAAAAAAAAAAAAAAAAGCAGATTGTTTGACTATTACAAGATCTAGCAAGCTATTCTCCTGGAAGCAATCAAGGCAAGAAAAGTCAGTCCTCAGGACAAACCCCTTTCCAAGACTGAAACTCATAGGTAACAAATGAACAGGCTTGTAAGTTTGCTGGTGGCCACTTTGGTCTACTGTGAGTGGAAGTGGGGAAAGGCAGTAATGAAGACATGGACTGAGTTCAACTATGTTCCATTGACTCCTGTTGACCTTGAGGTGAAAGAGAGAAAAGGAAGAAGATAAAGAAGTCTGATAGTTTGATACAGGAAACAAGTGTAATTTGCTATAATTTGATGAACTTGATATTTGCTTATAGATGTAGTTGCTCAAAATACCAACCGAGAGGGAAGGAGTCCTCACATCAAGGATCAAGCCTATACCCTCAGTACATAGGGATGGACAATTTAGACATTGGCTACCT